GGGTCCCCGCGCGCCCCTGGGTCCCGCTCACCAGGGCTGCGGGGGGATGCTCGTCCGTCTGCAGCTCCAGCGACGCAGGCGAACGCAGGCGCTCGCTGCTCCGGGGGCTCTTAAGGGGCACGTCTCAGACCGCCCATTGGCCACTATTTATAGCCCATTCATTCCATTGGCCCGTGCTCCGGGGTGGTGCCTCTGCTTTGTCCATCGCCAGCAGCCCCGACACCCCACCGGCGACCCACCCCATCTGTCCCCTCGCGGGGACCTCACGCAGGCACCCCTCCCAGGACCCAAAAGCTGCAACCCCAGGTCGTTGGACATGCAGGGTCCCCCCCAACACATACACACTGCCTGGGGGCGAGAAACAGGCCAGAAAGCACTGGAGGACGCCCCAGTCCCCAGAGGGATGCGGCGACGGAGCAGGCGACTGAGTCCTTCCGCAGGTCCTGCCCCACCTCACCCACTCAGCCGGCCCGAAGCCACCGACCTTCCTCAAGGTGCCCGCCGGCATCTCCAGGTGTTCTTGGTGCAGTGCGGGAGGGAGGAGCAGTCTGGCTGCTGCCCAGCCCCGTGGCGCTCCCGTGCCCTGACCTTGGGCTTCGGGGGAGGGGTTCCGGGGAACCCGCAAGAGACCCTCCAGCCCGGCTGCCCCTTGGAGACACTGTGCCCTTAGAGTCCACCCACGGTGGGTCCTCTCCACAGGGCACAGGTCCCTACGCACCCACCCTGCAGAAACAGACCCTAGAGACACCAACCAGCAGTACTGACATGCCAGTTCTTAAACTTGATCTCACTGTCAGATTCACGCAAATGAAAGCTAAGATGGCTGTATCTTTGCCTATCCCCACACCCAGAATGGCAAACACGTGAAAAGACTGACCCCTACCCTCTGTCAATGTGAGCTGTGAGCTGGAACGGTAGGAAGCAGGCCTGCGCGCCTAGACTGCAGCTGTGCGCTACTATCTCCTTTTTGGAAAGGAATCTGGCAGTATCTATCTATTAACCTTAACTATCCAGCTTCCTGACCCAGCAGTCCCACTTGTAGGAATGCTGCCCGCCTGTAGAGGGTGTCTGTCCTCACTGTAGATATATCCAGAAATGCACAGCAGAGGAAATGAGTGAATCTGGACAGGGCATGAAGCCCATCCCTGGGGAGCTGGCCACAGGCAGAGGGGCCTCTCTCCCCTGTGGAATATTATACATCTCTTAAAAAGAAAACAGTGAATTTGTGTGTCAAATGTCCTCCTGCATGCAGCCTTGCATATGTTGCTGTGTGAATAAAGCAGGAGGAGGAGCCCTTATCTCTGTGTGTGTTTAACAAAATTCCTCCAGCACTGCACGGAGTTCTGCCAGGTGCTAGGTGCTAGGGACAAGGTGGCAGCCAGTAAGAAGGAAAAGCCCCAGTCTTGCTGCTGGAGGGAGAGACAGCACTCTGAGCAAGCGGCCAAGGGTGCCAGTGACCAACAGTAGGACAAAAGCATTTCCAGAAGTAGAGGACAGGAACCCAGGCATTCTAGGCTTAAGGCAATGGGCAGGGACTGTGAAGACCAGGCCCTGGAGCAAAGGCCCAAGGGCAGGGTGAGGCCTGCCCCTGGTCCCCTGGTTGTTGCAGCGTGGACTCTGCCTTGCCTCTCATTCATTTGGCCTGCATCAGCCTCTTCCAAGTCAGCAAGTTGTGGACCCATAAAACAAAGGGTCATAAAAAGCCAAGTGGCCCAAGTGGCAGGTGTCACCTAAGCCTGGAATGTGTGTACACTGGGCCCCCAGGCCCCTCCCTGATCTGAGGAAGATCTGTAGCTGTACACCACCCTAACCCAAAAGCCTGACTGCCCTGCCTGCTGAAGTTACTGTTTGTGGAAACAGAGGAGGCACCCTGGGGGAGGGTGTGGTAGTTCTTTGTCTCCAGCCCTTGAGGCTTCTGGAGATCCCGCCTCCCTCCCCATCCTCTTCCCCAGGCCTCTTATTCCTCCAGCAAGCACTGGATTGTAGGTGAGGTCAAGGCCTGGGCTGAAGGCTGCCCCACCCCCTGGCAGCAGGGGCACAGAGAGCCCCTGCCAAGGGGTGGCCTGGGGAGAGGGTCCTGTCTGGGGCCACAGCAGTTCTCAGCCTTCTAAGTCCAGTCCTTGTGCTCTTTCTGTAGCTCATAGGAAGATCTGCAGTCTGGTGACAGAGGTGCTGGGCCACATTCCAGCCATCCCTCAGGGATCTTATAGTACCCACCCCTGAACGTGCACAGACCCACAAGGCAGGGGGGTGGTAGCAGGTGTGGAAGGGAAAGTGGTCTTTGAGGCCCTCAGATGTGAAGGTGAGATCTCTCCCAGGTGAGGGCTTCTTGGGAATCTCTGTGGCTCCAGAAAAGGGGAGCAGGGGAGAGACCTGGGAAGGTCTGGGCTCCCCATGGCAGAAGGTACCCTACTGACTCCCTCTCCCCCGCATCCACCCCCATGGGCCCTCTGCTGCTTTGCTGCTATCTGCAGGAGAATCTGCATGACATCACAGGCCATTGGTTTATAGCCAGGGCTCCTGGGAATTCCAGCCCGTTGCACATTAACCATAGGACTTGGAAGGGCTCTTCAAGGAGTCCCAGGTCTTGGTCTTTTATCTGTGGAGCAGGGCTCAGCTGAGGGACACAGGTGCAGGTGCAGGCAGGTCTAGACTGAGCAAGGTACGGCCAGGTTCCAGGCTGTGCACCTGGACTGTCTCTGAATATCTGCCCAGCTTTGGCCAATAGGCACTGTTTCCTCTGGACTCTCTTTTTCCAGGCACTGCAGAACCCAAAGAGGAAGTTTTTGGGGGTCGGGAGGTAGGTAGGGGCTGCCCCAAGGTCACAGGGCACAATGTAGCAGGCAACCAAGCTGAGAAGGGAGGAGGGAGGACCCTGTCACCCAGTCCGTGACAGGTGTGTGGTGAAACAGCTCCCAGTGGCATCTTAGCTTCCCCCTTTCTTCCGAGGCCTCCACCCGTCCTTTCCCCTCTTTCTTCAGTTGTGGTGTCAGTGTTGTGAAGCCAGGTTTACAAAGGACTGTGAGGAGGATAATGCCATCTCAGTTCTTAGGAGAGCTCCAATGTACAAACCATTTCCTGGGAAAGGGGCCCTTTCAGTAATCAGCTGAAGTTAGGGGGCTGGTTCTGCTTGAGGGCTCAGGCTGAGGGCCAAATGGGAAGTCTGGGAAAGCTGCCTGGAGGAGGGGCAGTGGAGGGGCTGCTGACCAGCCCAGAGTGCACAGAGAGGCAAATGAGAAGCTGGGTCCAAGGGAAACCACCCCAGAGTCATCAAGTCCTAATTCAGGGTCACAGCAGGCACTGGTTCTGGTCTCTGTCTTCCTGCAGCAGCAGAGAAGCTGGGGAAGAGGAACTCCCAGAAGTGGAAAGTCGAAATCCCATGGGAGCATTCAGGGGTTTAGGCAGGTAATCAAGGGAGGGGAGCTGTCTTTGGGAACAGAGATTGGGGAATGTGAATAAGGTGGGGTCATCCCTAGTGGTGACCCACAGGAATATGAGCCCAGAGTGGGAGACTGCCTGAGTCCCCAACATCTAACTTCCTGGGGCCTCAGACTCAGGTCCAGCCAGGGCCAGGGAATGGATGGGGGAGCCCAGGGCAAGAGCCGCACCTATGAACCAGGTCTAGCCTGGCCCAGGCAGGAGCAGGCACAGAGTGTTCAGTTCAGGAAGGTGTGGTTCTGCAGGGGCCCTTCAGGGGGCTGGGAGTGTGGCCTAAAGCCTTTGCCAGCTGGCCTGAATTCTCAGGTAGCAGGGTAGATTAGGAAGTCCCCATCCCGTCCCAGTCTCTGTGGCTAGCGGGACAAGCCCTGGTCCTGGAAGCTGGGCCTGATGGAAGACAGCTGTGCTTCCCCTCACTCCCACACCACAGCGGAATTTGCTCTGAACCAGACACCACTCCTGCTTCCCTTTTCTGTCCAGTCCTCCAGCAGCCCCGAAGTGAGCCTATCCAGTTCCCCTTTCCTCTGTGCTGGAGGTACCAGGAGACTCGGGGGCCTTCCGCCCCCCAAGCACTCTGGGAATGTGCACCTGTGATGAGGGCCTGGCCTAGGACAATTGGTGGAGACAGTTCCAGTCTGTCCTCTGCGGCACCTCGGGCTAACCCTGGCCACGGGCTTTGGGGATCCCCCATCCCGGCCTTGAGATTCGACTTTCTTGGATTCATCCGGGAACCCCCGCAGGGTGTTCCGTTTGCAATGACAAAATGATCGGGACCAAGAGTCCTGGTGGGGCTTTCGGGCCCAGGCCAGTCTGCCAGCAGGAGCCGCGTGTCCAGGGCAAATCTACAGGACCGGGGCTGGCGGAATATGGGACTTTTGTTGTGTCCTGTACTCGCAAGTGTGAGCAGAGGAAGGCAGCGGGAGAGACCAAGAATATCCTCCGCCTGGAAGCGAAGGGCAGAACGAGGCTCCCAGGAGCCCGCGCGGCGCTACGTCATCAGCGCGCACCCGGAGTCGGAAGTGGTGGCCGCAGTCGCGCACAGTGGAGATACATTTGGAGTCGGGAGCCGGCGTGGGGGTGAGCCTCGGCGCGTGGGTGCGGGTCGCTCA